ATTGCTTTGGAATTGGTCAAGCGAAACATTTGTGGTTGGATTCCGTTGTCAGAAGTTTACAGTATAAGGGAAGTTCCCATCCTGAATGGTTTATTTGGAGTAGCAAAACCATCTCTGCTGGACGACCAGAGGCCTGTTTTGAGATTAATAATGAATTTGGTTGGGTCCAACGCCACGCAAGAGCAGTTAACTGGGGGTACATCAACTTTACCAACTATCACTTCATGGCAAAGTATTGTGTTGGATCAACATGAGCGGCTGGAGTGCAACCAATCAGATATGAGCAGTGCTTTCTATCTATTTCGACTGCCGCACATTTGGCAAAGGTATTTGGCTTTCAATCTGTTGGCGTCCCCTCAGGATTTAGGACTTCAAGGCGAACTTCCTTTTGCACTTTGTTGTACGGTTATTCCCATGGGTTGGCTGTCCAGCGTTGGAATCATGCAAGAAATTTCAGAGTCACTACTTAAGCACCATCTTAACCCTCGCAATCAGGTTTCTCGCGGTAGGCCGCTGCCGCCATGGTTCTCTGACCTGCTGGATTGTTCCCATCATGAGGATAAACATTGGTGGCATGTCTATTTGGACAACTTTTGCTCTGGCGAGCGTTTGGAACCAGGGCAACCAAGCGTAAAGGGAATACTTTGTCATGAATCGGCGGAGGCCGCATGGGCATCTGCAGGGGTAGTATCCTCGCAGAAAAAGAGAGTGTCAGCAGCGACTCGCATTACAGAGCTTGGAGCGGAGATTGATGGGGAACAAGGAATGCTAGGAGTCAGTACCGCAAAGCTGGTGCATATTATCCAATCAACTTTATGGCTTTTATCTCAAAAACTGATAAAAAGGAAATTACTGCAGATAATTGCTGGTCGGTGGATTTTTGTACTACAATTTCGAAGACCTGCCATGGGGTTCCTTCGACAAACTTGGATCTTTATTTCAGGGAATCAACGCATTACTCCAAGTTTGAGAAAAGCAGTTCGAGCGGAGCTTTTGGACCTGGTAGCAGCGACTCCTCTTCTTCATTGTAACCTAGCAGCAAAAGTTTCCACACAACTGGGGGTTAGCGATGCATCCAACACTGGAGGGGCAGTCGGCTTTGCAGAAGGGCTCACTGAAGAGGGCCTGGACTTTTTAGCAGCTGTGAGGAAAGTGGAGGCCCATGGCGGGGTGATCCACGCCCCCATCCTGATTTTGAGTTTATTCAACGGGATAGGCGGGGCCTTCCGTGCTTACGATGTGGCGGCCGTCTGCCCTCAAGGGCGAATTGCAGTCGAGCTGGACGAAGGGGCTAACAGGATAACTTCAAGAAGGTGGCCGGGCACAATATTTGTTCAAGACGTGAGATCGATTGACAGGGCCTTGGTGCGACAATGGAGCCTGGCCTTCTTGCAGGTCCAAGAGGTGCATGTGTGGGCAGGCTTTCCATGCAAAGACTTGACATCAGCAAAACATGGACGTCTTAATTTGGCTGGGTCGCAAAGTTCACTATATTGGGAGATCCCGAGGGTTTGTAAATTGGTGGAAGATGAGTTTGGGAAGAACGTGGTTGTAAAGAAAGTGCTGGAGAACGTAGCATCCATGGGCCGATCTGCAGCTGAGGAAATCAGCCAAGACTTTGGTGCCATTCCATACAGGTTAGACTGCTCTCAGGCGGTCCCTATGCGGCGGCCACGCTTCGCATGGACCACTGAACAGCTGGAATCTTTGTTGCCGGACGTAACAGTTTCTGTGGCATCTTATTGGAAAGAAGTTAATGCATCTGCCCCCTATCCTGAAACAGCACAGTGGATAACCCCAGGCTATACTTGGGAAGGGGAACAGCTTGGAGCAATATTTCCGACATGTATGCGGTCGATACCTCGAGATGTTCCCCCGCCAAAGCCAGCGGGACTGGAAAAATGTGATTGGGCTTGCCGACAGAGGTGGTATGAAGACTATTACAGATATCCTCCCTATCAATACAAGTCGGAATTTTTAATCAGATCCCCAAACACTTGGAGACTTCTATCTGCTGAGGAGAAGGAACTACTTTTGGGATATGGTTACAAACATACGTCTTTGGCTTGGTCTGCTTCGAGACAAAAACAAAACAAACTGGGGTTCAGTGATGCTAGGCATGGTTATCTGGGTGATTCCTTCAGCATCTATTCATTCGTATTACTGGCGGTGGCATGTTGCAGGCAATTTATTCCAGTGATCCCCTACAAACTTCTTTGCTTGAGGATGGGTTTGGCACCGGGCTTTATTGCGCATTACCGTAGTACGGTTCCCCTTTGCAGGTCGCTTTCATATGGGTCCCAAAAACAAACTGGGGATTTAATCACCACTGGGATGGCTCTGTTTAATCGAATGCTACTTCGTAGAACAAACCATACAGGCTCAGACATACGAGTGGTTACAGGTGAAATCCTCAATTCACGGTCCTTCCCCCGGCAGTCGGTGTCAGCTCAATGGTGGAATTGGAAGGTGGCATTTACTCACAAATGGAAACAAAAGAGTCATATAAATGTTTTGGAGCTTGAATCAATTCTATGGGGTGTTCGAATGCAGATCAACAGATTTTTGGCTTGTGACTCTCGCATCTTCCATTTAACTGACTCGTACGTCTGCATGAGTGTGATAAGTAAAGGAAGAAGTAGCAGCAAGCAACTTCAACGCATTTTGCGTCGAATCAGCGCCGAGTTACTAGCCCATGGGTTGCAAGTAATCATGGGCCATGTGGAGTCCACGGACAACCCAACTGACGCTGGTTCTCGAATTTAATGGTGGCATACATACTCGCTGGGAGGTGTTCCCGCGCTGAGAGAAGGGGCAAGCGTAAGGCAATTTCTTTGGATGATGCTGCCTTAAGCGAGAAAACTCAGAAGCGTTATTATGCTGCCCTAAAGAAACTTCTCCCAGCTGTGGAAGCCTCTCATACTGAATCTGACCTGGATGGTTGCGTGAGTAGGTGGGTAAGGAAAATGTGGGCCCAGGGAGAGCCCATGCTTACCGTGGGTGATGGCCTTTCAGCTCTTCACTTTTTCCAGCCATGGACAAAGAAACGAATCCCTCAGGCATGGAAACTGTTTGCCATTTGGAAACGTATCGAGATTCCATCTCGAGCACCACCACTCACGCGTCCCTTGGTTCAGTCTATGGCAGCGTATGAAATTGACCACTGCAACTTGGAGATGGCAGCATTATTATTGTTATCTTTTCACTGTCTTCTTCGCACTGGAGAAGCCTTGACATTAACTCCCAACGATCTTATTCTTGGTACAGATTCTGGCATTTGCTCCCTCAAGGGAACCAAATCTGGAAAGCGTAACAGTGCAAATGAAGCAATCAGCATTACAGATCCTGCGGTTTTAGACACGGTGACTGTTGTATGCTCTTTGAAGCGCCAGGCCAATTTGGAAATGGCGCCTATTTGGTCCAGCAGCCCCTCGGCATTCCGGGTGAGATTTAAGAAGCTTTGTGGCATTTTTGGTCTGCAGACTCACTGTTTTCGCCCTTATAGCCTGAGGAGGGGAGGTGCTACCTTTTTCTTTCAGACCCATAAATCTATGGAAGAGGCTTTGATCAGAGGACGCTGGGAATCAAGCAGAGTAGCCCGAGTATATATCATGGATGCCCTTAGCTACCTGCCTTCCATACGTTGCAATTCTGTTACCATGGACATGTTGCAAAAGTATCACCTTTAAATCACCAAACAAGTTTGGCAAGACGCTGCGCTTGGAAAGGTGGAAGTGTGCTTGGATAAAGGTTCAACAGCTGAAAATTTTCTTTTCGTGCTGAAACCATATGAAGATGGTTCCTCTACCATGAGGCTTGAAACCAATCCCAACCAGGGGATTTATACAAGGAAAGAATATTTGCCTCATCCAGGAGGCCTTAAAGTTACGTTTCATGAGGATTGCTCAGAAACTTTGGGCGAGACTTGTGTCTCACTTGCAGTGCCTGCGATGTTGGGCGGCAAAAAGTGTGCAGCTTGAACACAAAATTGTTCTTCGAACTGTTTGTGTGAATGCTGTTGAACGTTTGATCGCCCGTTATTTCTCTAGGCTCTAATCAGGGCCCTCCCTCCACGACCCTTGTGGGGGGAAGTGTGCTTGGATAAAGGTTCAACAGCTGAAAATTTTCTTTTCGTGCTGAAACCATATGAAGATGGTTCCTCTACCATGAGGCTTGAAACCAATCCCAACCAGGGGATTTATACAAGGAAAGAATATTTGCCTCATCCAGGAGGCCTTAAAGTTACGTTTCATGAGGATTGCTCAGAAACTTTGGGCGAGACTTGTGTCTCACTTGCAGTGCCTGCGATGTTGGGCGGCAAAAAGTGTGCAGCTTGAACACAAAGTATTTTGTAAAGGCTTTCCTGTGTCAATGCATCTGTGTCTCAAGCTTCTGTGTGCAAAAGCTTTCTGTGCCCAATGTTTTTTTTGGTGCAAGAGACTTCTCTCTGACAGTAAGAGCTTTCTGGCGTGCAGAACAGCTGAGATGAGTTCAGGAGAATTTCGGGGAGATGAGAAAGGTTGATCAGTGCTGTCAGTGCTCGGATGAGATGACAACAGTTGAGAAGAACTTACTTAGATGACATGTGAGAAGAGATGGGATGAGATGAGAAGAGCTGAGATGAGCTGAGATGAGGTGAGAAGAGCTTACATGATTTGAGATGAGATGAAGTGTGGAGTGTAAAGTGCAAGTGTGAAGTGTGAAGTGTGGGATGTGAAGAGTGCAGTGTGATTTGTGAAGAAAGTGTTCGCTTGGAGTTGCATTGCGCCGGGGTCGCGGGCAGGCCATGTTCTTGGACAACAACAGTGTAACAGGTTCGCACAAAGCACGCACGCACGGGCCTGGCTGGCGCACGGCCCATGCAAGTTCTATAAATGAAAAAGGTTTTGTAGCATAACCCTAAGGCAACTTCCGCCCCGCCTCATGCGGGCACTACTGGTAATGGCTTACAACGGGATTTAGTAGCTATAGGCTATAACCATGGCTTAGCTATTCTTCAGGACCTGGAAGAGGAGCTGCGGAAGCTCCAGGAGCAGCTGAAGGAGGCGGGGATGGTCGTCTCCCCCACGCGGCAGCGGCCCAAGAAGGCACTGCCCGAGCATCGGGAGATCCAAACGGATCCGTGGATGCCGTTTCCACCGCGGCACGGCTGGGACTTGGGGGCTGGAAAAGGTGGACAAACTGGTGAAACAACGTGGGGAAAAGGGGGAAGATGTAGGGACACATATGGTGAAAATGTGGAAAATCAATGGCAAACATGGGTAGATGATGGTTGGATGAAAAATATGTGGAAACATTTGGAAAACTGTGGAGGTGGGTGGTTGGAAACTTGGAAAAGGGTTGGTAAGGGGCGGGAGGATAGACGTAAATTCCAAGACTTTGAGATGCTATAGTGCGATATATCCTTAAACATCTCTGGTACTGGTACTAAAATTATATCTCCTGCTGTGGTTCTCCGGGTCTTCAAAATTAACCCATACTATCATACTCAAGGTGTCACACAACCGTCGCATTAAACTCCAACATTTTTGGGTGGAATGTCTATTTTTGCAACTTGCTTACCCGACTGTATGTTTTGGAAAATGTTAAATCATTGGGGATGCATAAAATGGAGACAATCTAGAGATTGAAATCCTAGCCTAGGGTTTCAACATAGACCCAGATACCCCACTTCCATTTGGAATATCCTCAGTTACGTATGGGTTGTGGATGTCGGTGCTGAAAAACGAAAAATCTATAAAAATCTATGGTTTCCTGTAGATTTTCCTTTGAACAAATCCGTTGACAACAGATTTTCTGATTTTTTGTGCCTGAAACACCTAGCTTGGACACCTGTTCTCAGGAAACAGGAGGTGGCACCAGTGGTGGAGGGTCCCAAGATTGTGGAGCAACCGGCAGTGGTGAAACCCAAAAAAGAGAAGTGTCTCGATGGAAAAGAACCGGGGGGTTCCATAAATGAGGATACCCCAATAGCTGGATGGTTTATGATGGAAATCCCACTAAAATGGATGATAAATCGGAATACCTCCATTTCAGGAAACTTCGAAATTTGGTTTTGAGTGATTTTTACCAATAGAAACTTGGTGCTTGAAAACAATTCAGACTGCTGGTTTCCCTGTGGTAGTATCAACAAGGGATGCAGATCCAAATTTAAACCACTTACCAAGTGGTTTATCATCAAATTATATTATATGTTTATTTACGAAGTGGGATTTTATTCCAAAAACAAAAGTAACCCCGGATAATTTAACATAGCTATGGAACATGACCCATAGAAATAGTTGATTCACTTTTTAAAAATGGTGATTTTCCAGCTCGCTATCTGTTAGTTTACCAGAGGGTATAGATTTTCCCATTACATTTTTATTATATATCCCATTATATCCCATTAGGTATCTCCTTAAATGCCAATAAACCACTATATTCCATAGCTATTAAATCCAATTAAATCCCATTAAACCACCATTTTCCTATGGTTTTCCTATGGTTATTTTGGGTTACTAACCAAGTATTCCCAAAATAATCCAATTTGTAGCCGAATTACGTACCAAGACTAAGTGGGATGAAAATCCAAGTACTTGGGCTGCATCCTGCTTAGTAAATGGCTTATACCCCCCAATTCGATGAATGGAACATGCATTTTAGTGGGGCTTAAATGGATTACAATCCCACTAAAATGGATGATAAATGGATTATAATCCCACTTACTGGGATGAAATATGGCTTCTATATGGCTTATCACTCACGGATCCGATTCGTGGGGCCACATCATCATCCCATTATAATCCCATAGAATTTACCATATAATCCCATTATATCCCAGTATATAACATTAGATTTACCATTTGTTGATAGTCAATGATTATTGTTCATTGGTTTATGTTTTGGTTTTTAATCATTTAGTTCTCACTATTAGTAACTGTAAACTATCCTCCTTACTAAATGATTGCGGTGATCACAATGACCAACCAGTAAAAGTAAGGTTGTCAGTTGTGAATGATTATGATATCATGATATTATGATACTATGATACTATGATACTATGGTTATCAGAATAATTCGCTGGTTATCACTAATTACTATGGTTATGTCACTATTATATCATTATATCACTATATCATTATCATCATAGTATATATGAAGGTCTCCCAAACAAATGGAGGTACCCCAAAATCATCCATTTCTAGATCGTTTTTTCTATTATAAACCGTCCAGCTATTGAGGTACCCCCATGTCACTGAACCCCCTGCTATCACCAACGCGAAATATATTTCGCATTGTTATGGTGCTTAACTACTATTTCATATATCCCTTAATTGTGATCATAATAGTGATCATAATCAGTATCATTACTATCATATATATATAGTCATCATAATCATAGTCAATTGGTTATATAATCCAACTATTTACATATTATTCACAATCATCACGATGCTTTAATGTTAATAAATGATTGGATAACCAACTTCCAGCCGCCGAGGAAACCGAAAGCTGTGGAGCAACCTGACAGCGACAGCAGCGATGAGACGCTTGGATGCTGCGCTTGGGTCTGAAGATGTTAGGAAAACCAGGGGAAAAACCTGGGAAAACATAGGAAACCATGGGACACCCCACCCAAATGTTGGGAAAACCATGGAAAAAACAAAGAATATTTGATGTTTTGATAAATTTTTCCATAGACATTTCAAAAACCAATTGATTATATTTGGGTAGCCCGATTTATAGCCTTGGTTTTGATATCGTTTTTGTCCATTGTACTGATAGCCCAAGGCCAAAGACGGGGTGTACCGATAAATGTGATGGTTTATAATAGGTTTCAATTTTACATAGTGGCAACCCCCATGAAGTCATTAAATATAGGTCTTAGGTTTACCCCATATTAACGGCTATTGAACCACCATCATTTATGTAAATAGCCATGAATTACGGCATACCCTTATTTCCCGACAAACCAACACATATTTGGCCTGTGGTTCAACCAGCAAACATGTGGATAAGCCTATAGGACAATCTGGACACCCTTCAGTAAATCAACATAGCTATGTAAAACCCACTAGAAATGTAATAGTATACATCATTTTATGCATGGGAAGTAACCGTGGATTTGCATATCGTTTTGTGAATATTTACCAAAGGGTATATCCCACTATATCCCCACTATATCCCCACTATATCCCCACTATATCCCCACTATATCCCCACTATATACTATATTCCCACTGTATCCCCATATATAATTTCACCATAGACTATAAATCACAATGAATGCCGATTCCATTCAATCACTGGATTGGTTTAAGGAAAACAAATCACAGGAAACCCTGATTTCAATCCAGGGATTTAACCATCATGTTTGACGGTACATGGCCCCCCCCCAGTGATGTGAACGTTGGTTTATAAACCATGAAATAATCCCCATTAACACTCATAGACCACAGAATTCATCCACTATATATCTATCATAAACCACAGTTTTTTCAGCCACTTAATTCTTCGGCGTTTCGGATCACGCGAGCTATCGACACCGGGGGCCCCATCCTGTAGAATCTCCAGTTTTCATTGTCTTTTCCCCCGATTTTGGGATCCCAACCAGGACCCCAGCGATCGAAAAGGTCAAGAAGCCCAAAAAGGCGCAATTGTGGGGAACTGAACATACTGTGGATGGAGGAAATCCTGCACCAGTTAGATGGGCAGTTTATCCCAGAATAATCCCATAAAAATGCCTGTTTGTGAGGTTGCTTAATTCCAAGATAGGGACTTTTTTTGCATATGGTTCCAGCGCCAGAGGTGGAACTAAAGCATGAACAGTAGGATTCACATGGGGTGATGATACCTTCTCTTCAACGTAATTCTCGAATGCGGGGACTTGATATAGTTCGATGCTTTAGCGCCAATAAAACTGGGTGATTTTCCACAGTCAACTGTTGAATTACCAGAGAAAAAAAGGGAAGAATCTGGAAGAATCGCAGTTGTGAACCACCAATTTGCTGGTGATCTGGCCATGATGGTGATCTCACTGGAATGATGATTGGCAGGGGGAGCTATCCCAAGATAATTTCGGTTCAGCCATTTTCAGCTGCGTGAATTTTCTGAATGAGTTTATCCAGAGAATGTCAACCCCAGATTAATAAACCCCTAGATTGTTTAATTGGGAGGGTACCATTTAAGTACTAGATTATGACTCTTGGAGGAGTACCCCCCTAATCAATAAACCATGGTTTATTAATCCGGGGTTGACATTACAAACTCATACGATCAGTATGTTCCTCTTATATCCAACGAAGTACAAATGAATCCATTGTCTCAAAATGTTGGGAAAACGCCAAGATCCTATTGATGATCAGTTTCACCAGTGTAGCCAGTATATACCCTCTGGTAAACAAACAGTTTGCTATTGAACATGGCCATTGAAATAGTGAGTTTTCCCATTCAAAACTGGTGATTTTCCATAGTTATGTGAAAGCTTACCAGAGGGTAACTCCCATTAAATCCCATTAAACCACCATTTTCCTATGGTTTTCCTATGGTTTTCCCATGACATATCCCCATTTTTACACGTGTTTCTTTATGGCATATCCACCCCTTAAACCTCTCGTTGTGTTTAATCCAACAATGCGCACCTGGAAGGTGGCGCTCCCGATGCTCCCTAGTTGTAAGTGGCTGAAAATAGCCCCTAACCCCAACAAGTATAGACATATCATGATATATCAACCAGAAACCACAGAAACCTGAGCTTTTTTTTAATGTTCACCAACTTAGCTATTCATCAACCAGTTCAGTTATAGTTTGCTATTCAGTTATAAAAAGCTCAGTTATAGTTATGATTCATCCAAAATCTTGGTATATTGGTTAGAAATACCGCTTCTTCTTGCTCAAATCCCACCATTTTTGGTGGACCAATCACCATTGACCAACTTGGGGTGGACCACCGCGCGTGTTTTCGAACCTTTTTTTGGTCGCCATCTCCTACGAAGTGCACGTCCAGTTACAAGTGGATATACATACGTATACATATATATATATATTCACCATAGTTTTTCCGGGGTGATATCCCGACTTATGTCGGTGAAATCACCATTCTCATTTTTCTCACGTCTTTTCTGCACCAAGAAGATAGTCGTAGGTACCAAAGAAAGAAGAAGTACCTGTGGTTGTCTCGACCGGCATCGACCCGGATGTCGTGAGGCAGTGCTGGAGGGTTGCGGTGGTGTCATGCCATCAGGTTGTGTAGCCGGTCCAGATGCAGAGTTCGGCGAAAGTTACAGTAAGTTGGAGTAGAAACTGTATTTGCATCCCATGTAAAACACCATGTATTATAGCTATACATTACAGCTGTGCGGCTCAGGCAAAAAGGGTTTGGGCCGCGGTGCTTAACGGTTGCTTTCCCACTTTAGGTTTATCAGTCTATTTGGGCGTAATAGGAATTACCCCTGCTGAAACCTGAAAATACAGGTTATCAGCCGTAGTCTCTAAAGCCATCCCGGACAAGTCACATGATGCTACAGGTGGTGGCGCTCTCGTACCTGCTTCAGGAACAATGGCGACTGCAGCAACCGGATCTCAGCCTGCGACGGCTGGGGCAACTCCCACGCCCATGTCGGTAGATGAAGGATTCTTCACACAGCCCGTCCAGGCATATTTTCAGTTTGTGCAGAACAATCTTACCTACATCAATGAAGGTAACATTGACGCTTTCAGGCAAGAGGCAGAAGAGAGACACACACATCTCATGGAACAAAAGGTCCAGCAACTGTACCAAGAGTTTGAGGGAATTTGCCTTAGTGAAATTGCCCATCAACGTGCAGAAGCTGATCGCAGACATGAACACCTAGTATCAGAGTATTCAATGTCCCAAACGGCAACTGAGCATGAGGTCGCAAAACTGAGACAGGAACTTAGCGATGCAAACGCAAAGCTGAAGAACGCTGCAAATGCAGTTGCACTGGAAGCTGAGCAAAGAGCAAACCAAAAGGTAGCCCATGTTACAGCCCAGTACGAACAAAGGTTTTCTGAACTCAGAGGTAGCCTCGAGGCAGACTGTAAACGAATCGTGGATGAAACAGTGGAGTATGCAAAGAATGGCATGGAAGGTTTCAAGAAGGAGGAACAAGCTGTAATCCAGGAGATTAGAGAGGAATGCAGTAGGCAGGAAAACCAAGCTGCTGAACTCAACTATCAACTGCAGGGACAAGTGGAGGATTTGATGGAGAAGCTCAACAAGTACAGCGCCCCTGAAATCAAGGTCGACAGAGCCGTCGAAGTTGATGATGGACAAGGCGGGAACAATGTCGATCTGTACATGACCCCAAAATCAGCGGTCGGTACCAAGGCTGGAGCAGAACCCATGCCAAACACTGGTATGAGCAACCTAGCCATGGACGCTAAAGAAAGATTGAGCAACTTATTCTCAACAACCCCTGCCGGATCAGCAGCACCTCCAAAACTGCCACCATTGCCAGTTCAAAGACAAAACGATGATGATGCAAACCAAGAACAGAGTGTGCCCAGTCCTACAGCAATAGCAAGCGACACCGGCAAGAAAGCTGCTGATGCAGGCTTAGGTCTTTCAGGTCAACAATTGCTAGATCTCATCACTAGACTGACTTCAAAGGATTCAGATGGTGAAAAGCCCCGAACAAAAGAGGCAGAGACTATCAAACTGAACGACATGCCTGCCCCAGAAGCGTATCGTCACTGGCGTAATCATGTCAGAGATGAAGTCAAGTCGTGCTCCGACAAACCCGATGAGGCTTGGCTTTGGCTCAATGAAGTCTTTGACAACAAAACTCCTAGGGAAAAGTTGGAGGAAAAGCTACAGGAACCTGGGAAATTCATCACACTCGATACCAAGTTGTCGGCAGCGTTAACTCGCTCAGCCAAAGGTGATCTAGCAACAAAGATCCACAACTTCAAAGATGAGAAGTCAAAGAATGGGATCCAAGTTAGAGGTAGGAGAGTCCTTTTGATGTTTGAAGACTACTTCAGGACGTTTGAGGAAGCCGGAAGTCTCTATCGTGTGGAGGACCTACTTGGAGTCGTTCGCACTGGAGAATCTGTGGAGGACCTTAGAAGGTTTTTAAACCGATGGGACGCCACAATTGCCGGTATGGAAACCCCGCCAGATGACTTGGTTCTCAGAGACATTCTACTCAGACAAATCCGAAAATGTCAATTGATGAAGTATGACATTGAAGCATTCGACAGAGCTCCTGAAAAGTCGGAACAGAAGTCTTATGCATTCTTGTTGAGAAACATTCGTGATCTTTTGGATAGAGAAAGACTCCGTTCAAACAGAAACAGAATCGTTGAAAAGAACAAACAGACCGAAAAGCCTCAGCCCGCTGCACCCGCTCAGGGGGGCAAAGATCGCGGCAAAGGAAAGGGCGATCGAGGTCGATCCCGTGGCCGAAGCCAGAGTGGAAAAGGGGATAAGATATGTTACAAATTCAGGGATGGCAAGTGCGAAAAGGGTAAAGACTGTCCCTACAAGCATGTCAAGGATTCCTCAAGATCTGGCACCCCCAAAAAGAAGGGTAAGGGCAAAGGCGGTAGCAGAAGTGGTTCCCCTAACAGAAAGTCAAGGGAAGAGATGGCCAAGATCCCATGCACTTACTTCCAACAGGGCAAATGTCGTCGTGGTGACAAATGTTTCTACAAGCATGAAGTTGCAGCTGCACCCACAAAAGATCCAAAACGTACCAATAGCCCTGCACCGAAGAAGAAGGCCAGTGCAAAAGCTGCGCCATGCATTACTCAAAGGTATGCATGCATAGCAAAGGGAAAAGGGTTGCCAAAGGCTACAAAGGCCATGAAAGAACAATGCCATAGAGCTGTTGTGTTTTCATCAAAAGTGGAATACATCAGAGTACCAGCAACAGGTGAACAGAGAAAGGTAGTGCACAAACCCCGAATCTATGAGAAGACGTTCCCCGATTCAGAGTCAGTGCCAAAGCCGGAAAAAGCTCACTGCTCACCGTGCTCAGGTTTCGGCCAGACAGTTGCAGGAACTCGTGAAGCTCTTCGGCAACGATGTGCAGCCCAAGTGCCGTTTTCGATGCAATGACCCCGAAGGTGGAGTCTCATGTAACCACTGCAGAGCTCTGATTGGTCCAAAGAACAAACTCAGTAACACTCATTTGCCAACTGTTGCCACTCCTGCTTCAAAAGATGGATGTGTTTGGTTGGTTGATACCGGTAGTGAACAGGACCTGATCAGTGAAGGCATGCTGAAGACTGCAAAGGCAACAAATCGCCGTGTCAGTGACACTCCAATCAGTCTTGCAACAGCCAACGGTTCGACACGTGCGGATGAGGTGGCCGACGTAAAGGTCGATGCCCTGCACCAGCCGTTCTCACCATACATTCTTGAGGAAACTCCTGCTGTTCTTTCGGTCGGGGTAAGGTGTATGGAACAGGGATACAGTTTTGTTTGGCCGGCTGATGGTAGGCCTTACTTCATTCGTCCGGATATGGGAGTCATTGAGCTGAATGTAGACGGCCGTGTGCCGGTTATTGATAGCTCTTGTCGTGTTTTGAACAGTGGACAGTTCAAGAAAGATTGTGATCTGTTACGTCTTTTTGCAATGGTTGCTGCAAAAGCAGAAGGTGCCGACGAAGAAGGTGTGGATGAGGGAGTAGCTCATGATAGTGAAACCGATTACATCAGGTCTAGAAAGGCATCCGACCTTGAGCAAGAGGCATGCAGCAAATCTCACCAATTTTGCCATTACCCCAAGAATCCATTTTGCAAGATCTGTCAGAAGGCGCGCATGATGGCGCCACCCGCAAAGAAAAAGGGAGGACAGAAAAGATTGGAAACCAAAAGTTTTGGGGATCACATTGTCGCTGACCACACTGTAATCAAATCCAATGTGGAAGAAGGCGTCAAAGGTGAAACAGTGGCATTGGTGATGAAGGACATCCACACTCAGTTCAGGCACGTTTATCCAAGTCAGACCAAATCAAGTGAGTCATGTGTCAACGCTTTCAATCACTTCTTATCTCACAAGGACGAAGTTGGGGCAGTTTACACTGACAATTCAAGAGAACTTATTGCTACAATTTCAGAGTTGGGGTACAGACATCAAACGTCAACAGAGTATGTGGACAGTTCGAAATCGTTTGTGGAGAGGGAGATCAGGCACATGCTTGAAGGCACACGCACAAACCTTGTGCAGTCCGGTCTTCCATTGCAGTATTGGCCACTGGCTATGCAGCATTTCTCCATGGCAGTGAACGCCACGCCACAGCTCAACGGTGATGACGCCCCATGGAAACTCCGATTCGAAGAAGATTTTCCAGGTCAGTTGATTCCTTTCGGTGCAAAGATACTGTTTTGGAACAATCCAAAAAGGGTTGACAACACATCTGGAAAGACATCACCAACTGCAAATGATGGAATCTCTTTGGGATACCATATTCAACCTGGTTTTGCATGGAAGGGTGAGTATCTTGTTGCCAAGTTAGAAGCATTGGACTATCATCATCACAGTGCAGCGAGCACGACGTGTTGAGCTCATCGCGGGAGGTTTTGTCTTCCCACTCCGTGCATTGAAAGAGGCCAAAGAGCCCAAGCCGGACCGTCTTGCGGACAATGTCATTGCTGATCCTCGTCCGATTCCGTTTCAATCCGAATTGCAAACTGAGGAACACGCAGAAGCAAGTGAAGAAGCAATTGACAAGTCAACGGAGGCAGTGCTTGACGCACTTGCCAGTGACGAAAAGCCGGCTGAAGAAACAATTTTTCCTGATATCAAGTACACTCCAACTGGAACTCCAATCCCGGATGGATATCATTGGGACGGAACGCGCCTTGTGAAAACGTACAAAGGGTCAAAACGCCCTGAGTCGATCCCATCGGATTTTTGGAAGATGCTTAGTCCAAAGGATAGGCAAAAGCTCGTTGAGGAGGAGGCTGAAAAGATGGCTGTTGGCAGCGGCGGTGCTGCACCAAGTTCATCATCAAAGGGTCCGAAGAAGAAGAAAGGTGCAGTTGCAACCGCAAGAAAGCTTCGGGTAAACCCTAGCCCCTCAGGTGAGCCTACTGTGTCAGAATGGGAGGTCATTCCAAAGGATAGACCGAAGTTTTGCGTCCCTGCAGTGCCGAAAGCGGTTCCAGCAAAAGCTGAACTGCATCGCCCGGAATTGAGAGAGATGATCAAGAACAAGATCGCAGAGTTGGAATT